ATAGCAGAAGCTGAGACTCTCTTCGTTCACGTTCTGCCAAGAGAAAGACCCAACGTATCATCACCATGGAGCAATAAAAGGGGATATAAGACCAGGCTGTTACCTTCGAGTCTCAGGGTGGGAATCTTCGATATCTGCCCACACATTCCCCACCCAAGCAGGATATCGTCACCACGGGGCGGTAAGAAGGGGGTATAAAATCAGGCCCTTCCATCCGAGTTTTAGAGTGAGATTATCCGATATCTGCCTCCACAACCCGAATTCACACCGCGTATCATCACCACGGAGCGGTAAGCAGGGTCCTGCAACCATCGAAAGAGCTCCCCTTTTTACTTCCTAACCATGCTTAATGTGTGACACACCATCGTGTACCTTTAGATTAGTATCCCACCCGCCGAGCGATTTGGGGGCATCACGGTGATTATTGATACCCAAAAGGTACAGTGGGACACGCCCAAGAACTCCGGAAAGCCGAACTGTAAGGCTTTATCGCGGTGGGGGAGGGGAAATCGCGGGGCTAAAGGCCTACCTCAACGAGGTTGTTCCCGTTGTGGAACAAACCAAAGAGAGGATCAAGGGGTTACCGATGGCCCCGAGGGTCACATTTTCTTAACGGATCCCTACAGACGTTTAATGATGGTGGTTCTAAAAGTTGGCGCCTACAGGTGAAGAACTGCCTCAAACGCGGCCGTTACAACTACTTCTTTCGCCAACACTTTTCCTGCCGTTATCGGCGCTGTGGAAAACGCCTCTGCACCGCAAGACTCACCACCCCCGACATCAATTACTCTATATATTATTGCAACAACGATGGGCTACAGTACTAACCAAGCTAACGGTTGCTAGCAACAAGTTCGCGATTCCTATTTATATATATCGACATCGACTAACGTTCAAGTTAACACGATGTCTTCCCACGAATGGGAGAAAATAATAAAGCTCCCAAAACCCGCGACGGAATGAAAGGTCCAGACCTCGAAGGAGGTAATTCAAATGCCACCAGACAAAGTGGCTAAAGGGAGAGGAAACTTCCATGTGGGGGAATTAGTTTCCAAAGTTCATATACGTGGCCTTGGGGCGTGGTGCGCCGCCTCGAAGATCCAGCGCTTTCACTTTTTAGCGGCCCGAATATTATGGCACTTCTAAGACGTCAAGAATCTCAAAACTCCGGACCTCGACGGTAACTACAATCATCTTCCAGAAACGCAAAGCGGCTTTGCCGATTTACAAGTAGCCCATATTATTCCACACTCACTGGGCTGGCTTTGATGCGATGACATCGCTATCTAGAGAAGCAGACCAGCTATCTCGGAAGTACCTGAAGGGATTCAAGAATTGAAAGGCGTATCGAGAAGATATACAAACTAATGCGGAGAAAAACACAAGTCCCAGTCATCATACTGACCTCGGATCGGTCTGTCCGGCACCCGCTTCGCGCCCGTTTCTTGGGCTTTTCACACGTAGCGCGGCGCGATTGCCTTTTTTTGTTATATATCAGATCATCCGAGACGCTAGAGCGGTGATCGGAATTGCGGTATTCTTAGATATCAAACTTATTCATATATGATAATGAAACGAGTGTTAATAGGAGTGAGCATGGCCATTCTCCATTTCCCCCTATCTCTACATAAACATCCTATATAGGTCAATGACCTGTTCCGAGCTTAAAGGGACCTGAAAATCACATCTCCAGGGAGCTACTTTCATTTCCCATAGGTTAAGGGGAAGATAGCTACGTAGAATCATCCAGAGAAAGTTCTTAAACAGACATTATTTTTTTTGTAATTTTCTGGGGTTTTCCTATCTTACAAAAAGAAGAAGCAAGTGCATAACACGCCCAAACTTTGCTAGAAACACAAGGAATAGAAATAAAGTGGAAGGGGAAAGGGATAATGTGCATGAACTTTGCGTTAAACATTACAGAGGAGATAGAAAAGGGGGCAAGGGGGAAGGGGGTTGAGGGGACGGTGAAGTACAAAAGTTGAAGGAAAACTTGCTGAAGGGATTAGAAAAACAGAGTAAAGAGAGCATGAAGATGATTTTTTTGTTTCGGGGGAAAGCACAAGAGAAGAAAAGAAAACAATAGAAGAAAAACATAGACGCGTAAATTCATAGCAGGGTTCGTGGGACACGTCATACATCATGAAAGGAGAAAGATAGTAAAGAAGGTCAGAATCGTAGAAGGGTGCATCGAGAACGAAAGAAAGGAGAGATAGGAGAAGGCGAAGGGCCAGGAATACCCAGTCCCATCCGCGGAAATCAGGTCCGAGAGCATCCAAATCCCGTGTCCAGAAACATTGTCGGGATGTCCACGAAGTCAAGTCTCCAATATGTCATGATTTAATCCCCATGACGAGTAGAGTAAGGGCCGGTGCCATTAACAGAACCTCCCAGCATAAGCGGTACCGCTGAGTTACGGCTTAATCATCCTTAGGTCACTCTTCACGGTCCCCTCCTTAAGCCGTCCAAGGGGGATAAACATAACCTCCCCATCAGGGTCGGCCTCAACGCGCAGGACCTGCACCGGGGTCCATCCGCATTCCTTGCAAGTGCAACAGCCACATCCCAAGTAGTAGGAATTCGATCTCAGGACATTCTTGCAGTGATTGCAGCAGTTCAGAGTCCAGGTTTGCGAGCGCCCGTCGACAGGTTCATAGAGACCGGATTCTTCCCATAACTCGATTTGGTTAATCCACGTCTTAGCGAACGCAAATCCGAAATTCCTGAACCTACGGAGGGAAGAAGATGTGGTAGAGCGCTCGACAAACTTGATAAACTCCTCCTGTGTAACAGGCTCCGGCGTAAAACAACGAGGCATAATCGCGCGAATCCCCGCATTGAGCTTGGATAATGCGAAGGCAGAGGTCTCAGTCTCTGTATTCATTTGATAATGAAACGGACACTGGACGGGCGAACTGACAACCCAATATCTCCTGCATAGTTCGCAGGCAGAATACAGCACGTGATGGCGAAGTATTTCTTTGATCTGGTCCTTGTCCATGAGTTCTCCTAACTCGTAAAATCTGGGAAGAAGACTTGATTCCATGAGGCGCAAGAACATGCGAGCTTTTCCACAAGAGTATCGGCCAAGGGGCAACGGTAGCGTAGGGAGTGACACGTATAGCAGTCTGGAGGCAAACTTCAGCATAATGCGGTCAATAGGGTCGAGATGCTCCATGATCATAAGCTTGAGTTCCAGAGGCAGGTTCAGGAGCCTGTTGTCGTTATTGGAAACCGGTTCTTCGTCGTGGGACTCGTCCTTGGGCTCGTCCTTAAAGCATGGGATCAAAGACTGGGAGAGAGTGTGGCTCTCGATGAGTGCCATCGAGACATTTGGCACGCAGGTTAGGGCGCTGCCATCGGTTGAATCGACGCCATTTCCTTCGTGGGGTTTACCCTTCAAAGCCTCGACAAACCCGTTATTCAAAACCAAGTCAGATAACACTTTCCAATCCGTGAACCAATTTGGCGCAGCAAGTGAAGACTGTTCCGCATCACGCACATCTGACTGAGCCGCAGTGGGAACCAGGGCCATGTCCATGTTTGCGAGGGATTGTAATTGCGGGTCCTCGCAGGTTGCGATGGATTGACTGTGACTGTTTAAAGAGGCTGAAGGACGCTTCGAAACACGGAGCCTGGAGTATCATCATGTTTAGTATATACCACTTATAGGACAGTCCCTGGAATGAAGAAAGCAACATGAAGCGAAGTAGACGCGAATAACGGGGTCAAACAAGCCATGCACAACACCAGTGTGAAAGAAGTTTAACGCGCGAGGAACCCATCACATACCTTGAGACCAACCGTGCAAACCCCTTTAAAGGGGTATTTTTATATGCGCCGAGACGTGCAGATAACCTTATGCCGCGCACTAAGTAGATCTTAGATGGCCGCGCGGGGACAGAAGCCGGGGTAGTGATTTGCGCAGGGAATGCGACGAGGATGTTGTGATGAGAAAGAAGGTGGGGTGACAAAAGGAAAAAGACCGCACAGTGTTATGGATAACATCAAAACATTCAAATCGATGCCCTCAAGGCACGTGCACATTGTGCGGAAGCTTGGCATTTTGAAGAAGAGCATGAAAACAAGTTCTGAGAGAGTCTGGGCCGTTCCAGAGGGCCTAAGAGGAATCCTGTGAGGAATTCTGTCCCATGCCTGTGAGGCCTCTGCAAGCCGGGTGTCCAAGAAAGGCCATAAACATTTTAAACGTCAAGTATTTAGTATAAAGACAGCGCAAAGTTCCCTCCAGCCCCATATCACACTTCATGATATATCCAGCCAGGAGACAAGGGAGTACGAAGACCAATATCTTAACTAGGCCCAATCCACGAGACAAGACAGGGCAGTGAAAAAGCAGGGAACATGAGAGTAGATACCCATTCCATTCTACCTTTCAACTCAAGAAAAATATTGCAATAGCAATATAATAAGCATATCATAACTCAGAAAGAGAAGCTAGTCTGACATCGAGCCAGGAGCAGGAAGACTGATATTGGTACTTCAGCAATATCATCTTAGCTTTATCACAATCGACACACATGGCTATAAGCCAGAGGTTTGAACTCTTCAGCATCACCTGAGGAGCAGGTGTGAGAATCCTACGAAGGGCATCCATTGAGTCCCAAGACTAACGGGTTTTGACAGCATCGAGAGCACTGGATAGACGGAAGAAAACCCATCTACTCATCAAGCGTCAATAAGAGACTCTTTACCAACATCCCATCAGACATATTACTCTCCCCATCACTCTCACTAGGAAATTCACTCGTGTGATGTTGAATCACCCATCCCCAAAATGTGCCTTTGATAGACCCGACGTTCATTCAAACTCTCTTGGCAGTCACATCTAATCACATGACCTCACCAACCCTGCCTATCTGACATCAGCAAGTCCCAGGCAAGACCTCCAGGCTACAGCATCCATCCCTTGCCAGCCTTCCCGCGAGCTTTCCAAGCCCTTTATCACCCCCCTATCAGCCTAATCCCCATCTCACAAACCAGCCCGGGTGGTCTAACTGGCAATGATTCGCGTTTTGGGGACTTGTCCCTACTTAAGAGTCTCGCGAGGTTCCGCGTTCGAATCGCGGCTTGGGCCCTTTTGTGTCAGATTTTTGGATCTCTACAGCAGTATCTTTTTTTCAAATCCCTTTCCAGGGAAACTACATGCCCGGGTGGTCTAACTGGCAATGATTCGCGCTTTTGGGATTTTGTCCCTTCTTATTAGAAACACTGCGAGGTTCCGCGTTCGAATCGCGGCTTGGGCCGTCATATTTTTTGGATAGCCAAGTATATAGTAGTCTTATTACTGGCATCTTTAATTATCATGAACTAGCCCGGGTGGTCTAACTGGCAATGATTCGCACTTTGGAGATTTTTCTCCCGACTTTGGTTTTTGCGAGGTTCCACGTTCGAATCGTGGCTTGGGCCTGCATGAGGTTTTGACGTCTTTTTTTTGGATGTTGTTGACGGAGTATCTATCTCCTTTTTTTGTATTGGGAGAATGGATAGAATCTATGAGCGTTGAGTGATTAGTTTATGGCATGCTGTCGGTGATCGGTTGGCTCCATGTATGTTTGGGTGCGGGCTCCTGGTACTGGCACTGGCACTGGCAGTAGCACTAGCACAGACTGCTCACTCTGGTTCGACATAGCACGGGAGAGATTTTACTCTCATAGATGATGTTGTAGGATAACCTAGACTGCGAAGAGTAATAATGTATGTCGACGTCTGGGTAGACATGCCTTTGAGATTCCATGATGGCGGGCGGGATACTAACCCTATATCGAAAAAGGGGAACATATATCTCCGAGTCACGAACACATCGTATCATCACTCAAGCTATCACATTATCAATCTCACCTTAGAGACATAAGTGAAATAGTGCCATATAAATCTCTAACATAATCTAAGTCATAAACAAATCTAACAACGCAAGGTAGGTATATATCTCCCACACACACACCAGTGGCATGGCACATAAATCTAAAGCTTCGCCTTCGGCGCCCCCTTCTCCTCCTCCTCTTTCTTCGCCTTCTCCTTCAACACCCTCCTCAAAATCTTCCCACTAACACTCTTCGGAATCTCATCCACGAACCTCACCCCACCCCTCAACTTCTTATGATGCGCAACCTTGGCATCCAAAAACTTCACAATCTGCACCTCTTCCTCCTTCTCGTTCCCGCCTTTCGTTCTCCGCACGACGTACGCGCGGGGGACTTCAGTTCCGTGTTCCTTGCTCTCGACACCTATGACGGCGACGTCGTTGATAGATTGGTTGTCCGCGAGTATACCCTCCAACTCCGCAGGCGCAACCTGGAAGCCCTTGTACTTAATCAACTCCTTAACCCTATCCGTAATATAAAAATTGCACTCCTTATCCTGATACCCCACATCCCCAGTCCTGAACCACCCGTCCTTCGACAACGACGCCGCCGTCGCAGTGGGGTTATTATGGTATCCTAAAAACACATTCGGGCCCCGCATATACAATTCGCCGACCTCGCCGACGGGAACTTCCTTCGGCTCGGAATCGTCTTCGGGAGTAGTCATGTACTTCGCTTCCATATTCGCAACCATCTTCCCCACGGAGCCGATCGTTCGGTTCCAATCTGCCCAGGGCTGGGTATGCGTCGTTGGACTCGTCTCGCTGAGTCCGTACCCCTGCTTTACGCCCGTCTTGATACGCGCGTACGTAGCTTCCAGGAGTTCGCGGGTGATGGGTGCAGCGCCGGAGTTTAGGATGCGCAGGGAGGAGAGGTCGTATTTTGTGACGATGGGGTGTTTGCTTAGGAGGAGGACGACGGGCGGGACGACGTAGGAGAATGTGATGCGGAAGTTCTGGACGTGCGCGCACCAGCGCTCGATGTCGAATTTGGACATCACGACGAGGTGGAGGCCGAGGTATATCGATTGGTGGATTAGGCATGTTAGACCTAGCCCGTTCATTAGCAGCCGCAACCACCCTCCCCTCACCATAAAAACCAGTAAAAACCACCATAAACATACCATAAATATGAAAAAACGGCAAAAAAGCCAACACCCTATCCCCCTTCCCATCCTGCCCCCCTTCCCACGAAACATTCTCCCCCTCCAAAGACCCCACCTGCAACACATTCGCCACAATATTCCTATGCGAAAGCATCACCCCCTTCGGCTTCCCCGTCGTCCCAGACGAATACACTAGGAACGCCAGATCCGTCCCCGGATCAACCTTCGTCTTCCTATACCTCGACGTCCCCGCCAGATTCTGCACCGCAGAGAAGTGCTTGACGCGATTCGTCGGATCGGTTTTATCACCCACAAGCGCGATCCTATCATCCGTAATCCCGACGCGTTTCCCGGCCTCGCGCACAACGGGCAACAGATCGAACTGCGTAATCACACCCTTCGCCCCGGAGTCTTTGAGCTGGAACGCCAGCTCGTCAACGTTGTAGCCCGGGTTTGCGGGGGATAGGATCCCGCCGGCCCAGGAGGCACCCCATGTTACGGCGGGGGTGTCGATGGAGTTTGGAGTGAAGAGGGCGAGGACGTCGCCTTTTTTCCAGTCCCAGGTTGCTTTTAGGCCTTTGCCGAATTCGAGGGCGGTGGATTTTACTTGGGCGTAGGTGTAGGAGCGGAGGGTTTCGGCGTCTTGGTAGATTACTGGTTTGGGGGATGGTGGTTAGTTGGCGTGCGGGGGTTGGAGCAGCGGTGGATAAGAGGTGTAATTATAACGTGGATTTACTCACTCTTATCATCTGGAAAAGCCCTATCCTTCCTCTCAAACAAGAATGTCCAGATATCGATATTTGGAATATCAATTGGTGGGTATGACGACTTGGTAGGCATGACGGTAGAGAGAGTGAGGGGGAAGAGAGAGAGAGAGGCGTGGGGGGTATGTAAATTCTTTAACTCCTGTCTGTACAACGAAGCAAGCAAAAAAGGATAAATAAAAAGAGAAGAAAAGAACCCAGACCAGGGACAGGACCAAGCATCAAATATAAAGCCAAAGCAACTCAAACCCTCCCCTTCCATCCTTCAAGCTTAAGCGAACCTCCGCACCGCTCGCCTCTTCTCGGATACGAGGGGTAGGGTTGAGAGCCGTGCGATCCCCATCATCATCGCACCACTCGGCGCTCGCACCCACCGCGTCCCTGCTGTAACCGAAGCGATGCCGGTCGGGGCCGACTCACCAACTCCCAGGGCCTTGGGATTGCCGTATTCCTGCCTCGGCAATTACCCGAAAGAGAAATCGGGGTGTTATTGGATGGAATTAATGGATGACTAATGGTCGGTGAGAGAGGGACCACGGTTTTTGTGATGTTTAATGTCAGCAAGGAAGAGAGCCGAGAGCCGTTTCAACCGATCGATGATGATTGATTTATTTGCGACCTTATCAGATCAGTGACAGTGTGCGCGATCGTATTTCTTAGTTCTTACTTTCCCCGGAGTTTTTGTGCACTGGACAAGTAATCCTTGCTTTGTTATGCTCAGGGATATGGAGCTCAGCTCAGCATAAGCTGCATAGCTCACTCTGCGAGTCAGCAAGAGAGCTGTGCTCTAGAATCGCTCACTCGATAAGAGATATCTATACCAAAGATAGGTGGGACAACGAGAACTGCAAAAAATCACTGGTTCATTTCATCGCATCTCTGGCCATCTCAAGACATACAATTACATAAATTTGTATATCCGCGGAAAAAGAAAACTGCGGACTTTATAAGGGTATGTAAAAAAGACGAGAAAGCAAGGCAAAGAGAAGAAAATAAAAATAAAAACGAGAAACCCTGCGATAAAAAAAAATATGAAGTCCATAAAATGGGCCCGATACCACACCCTTGGATATGTATGTTTGCCATGCCCTTTCCCCTTTCTCCCTCTTTTGACCCGGTAAACCACCATCCACAACACTGATGCTTCACAATAAACATTACGAGCACAGACACTTTCTCAGACACAGGGCTGCATCATCGCACAGCGGTCTGCTTGACAGAAATTAATATAAATTCCCTTAAGCCTTTTCCTTGCCGCGGATAGCAGCGTTGGGAACATGGGCACTTGGGACGGAGCCATTGCCGATGGTCTGCTCGGCGTGCTCGCGGGCACCAGTGAGGCCGAACTGGGTGTTGATGCCCTCAACGCGGTGGGTAGAGTTAATGTTCTTGACGAGGGTGAGCTGGTAGCAAGTGGCACCACCTTGGCGGGAGGTGATGGTGGAGGCAGCCAAGAAGTATTCCCAGATCTGGTGATAAGGGTTAGTTGGGAGCTACACTGGGGCAAGTAAGGGGGGGGATAACATACTCTGAACCATCTCTTGCCATACTTAGCCTCGACCTTGTCGCGGTTGCCCATCCAGTTCCGGTACCACCTCCAGAGGGTAGCAGAGTAGTGCACACCGATGGTATCACAGCCCTTGAGTTCAAAACCAGCGCCCTCAAGCTTGTCGACGACGAATCCGAGAGGTGTGCTAGCATCCGCGCCAGGGAAGACGTACTTGTTCATGAACAAACCCCAGATCAAATCCTCATACTGCCATGGCTTACGGAGACCAGCGATCTGGAGGAAGAAGACACCATCATCATCAAGCATGTCATAAACTTTTGAGCAGAACGTGGAGAAGTGGCGGACACCGACGTGCTCGGCCATCTCGAGGCAGGTAATCTTCTTGTATCCACCGGAAACAGAGGGAGAGTCACGGTAGTCCATGCAGAGAACACGGCTTTGGTCTTCATCAATGCCAGCCTTCCGAAGTCCGTTGTTTCCCCATTTGGTCTGGTTGCGGCCGAGAGTAATACCGGTAACATGGGCACCATAGTGGACACTAGCATATTTGGCGAGAGTACCCCAGCCACAGCCAAGATCGAGAACAGTGTCACCTTGCTTCAGACCAATCTTCTCACATACAACCGCAAGCTTGTTATCCTGGAGTTCCTCGAGGGTCTCTTCCTTGTTGATATCCTTGATAATACCGGAGGTGTAGATCATACGGGGACCGAGGAACCATGCGTAGAAATCATCACCACGATCATAGTGATCCCGAACTTGCTCCTCATCTAAAGAAATGTCAATGAAGCACGAGGACATTCCCAAAAAAATCAATGCGTACCTTGCGAGCGAGTGTGCATAATAACCTCCGGAACCATCCCAAGCAAGAAATACTTGAACAAGCTCAGAGTGAAACGGAAGCTGGCCCAATCATGACGGTACTCCAACGCCTCCAAAGCGTCACCCTTGAAATCCACCTTGTTGTCAAAGTACATCTCATAGAAAGTCTCTATGGGGATCTTGCTCTTGCCGTGGTACTTAACCCTATCATGCTCACTGTGGAACTGGAGGTAGTGCTCAACGGGTCGACCGGGGTATTTCGCCTTCTCGTTCTTACGGGGCGAGATCGAAGAGGCCACGCTCCAGAAGACCATGAGGATCGGGAGAGCGGTAAGGAGGGCGAA